CAAAAGAAGTGAAAGACTTATACAAGGAAAATTATAATACACTGAAAAAAGAAGTTGAAGATGATCTCAGAAAATGGAAAGACATCCCTTGCTCATGGATAGGAAGAACAAACATTGTGAAAATGGCCATTCTCCCAAAACTGTTATACAGATTCAATGCAATCCCAATAAAAATACCATCAGCATACCTTATAGATCTAGAGAAATCACTCCTAAAATTCATCTGGAACCAGAAGACACCTAGAATAGCAAAGGCACTTCTAAGCAGCAAAGGCAAGGCAGGAGGCATCACAATCCCAGACGTGAAGTTATACTACAAAGCAACAGTAGTAAAATCAACATGGTATTGGAATCAAAACAGAGCCGAAGATCAATGGAATAGATTAGAAGATACAACCACAACTACAAACACACTCAACCACCTTATCTTTGATAAAGGAGCCAAGCAGGTTCACTGGAAGAACGACAGTCTCTTTAATAAATGGTGCTGGAAAAACTGGCTCTCCATTTGCCGAAAACCTAAAGCTAGACCCATGTCTATCACCATGTACTAAATTAAAATCTAAATGGGTCAAAGATCTGAATATTAAAACAGAAACACTAAATCTATTGGAAGACAAATTGGGTAGAAACCTTGAAGACATAGGAGTAGGTAGAGAATTCATGAACAGGACTCAAACTGCATGGGAAATATTTCCCAGAATCAATAACTGAGACCACTTCTTATTAAAAAGTTTCTGCATGTCAAACTAAATCTCCAGCATAGTGAAAAGAAAACCCACAAACTGGGAAAAGATTTTAGTGAACTCTCTCTCAGACAAGGGACTCTTGTCTAAAACATATAAAGAATTAAAAAAAACTCAGACCCCCAAAATTCAAAGATCCAATCCAAAAATGGGCATCTGAGATGAATACGCAATTCTCAGATGAAGAAATGCAAATGGCAAATAAATACATGAAAAAATGTTCATCGTCATTGGTCATTAGAGAAATGCAAATTAAAACCACACTGAGATACCATCTCTCTCCTGAAAGAATGGCCAGGATCAATAAAACCAACAACAACAAATGCTGGAGAGGCTGTGGGGAAAAAGGAACTCTCCTACACTGTTGGTGGGAGTGTAGACTGGTACAACCTTTGTGGAGGTCAGTCTGGAGCTTTCTCAAAAAGCTGGGATTGGAAGTCCCATTTATTCCAGCTATTCCACTTCTAGCCATATTCCCAGAACTGAAAGCATCATACCACAGTGATATATGTGCACCTATGTTTATAGCAGCACAATTTGTAATCGCCAGATCTTGGAAACAACCCAAGTGTCCATCAACTGAGGAATGGATAAAAAAGTTGTGGTATTTCTATACAATGGAGTATTACTCAGCTATAAAGAAGGATCACATTGAGATATTTATCGATAAATGGGCGCAGCTTGAGACCATACTCATAAGTGAAATAAATCAATCTCACATGTGGGAATACCAAATAGTTTCCCTAATGTAAGTAATGATTCAAATATATAAAAACATGTGGTAATCATGATTCCCCATTGTGGCCTTGAAGCCTTATAAAGTTTTAACTTATTAATTGGAAAGGCTTTTTTCTGGGCTTCTTGATATGGAAATATTTGAAGCTATTGTATATGAAGTTGTATTCAAATATTTCAAGGAAAAAGACAGACAGTATGGTAACTACTATTAAGTCGGGTTATTTGGTGGTGAAGCACTAGGTTGCTGAAACAGTTATGCTTTGACCTGTATTGTTATATTGTTATGTCCTCTTTTATCTCAATCTCTCCCTTATTCATTAAAAAAATTATTTAGTTATTTTTTATGGTTTTTTTTAATTAAGGGGAAAAATTTTTTTAATTAGCAGGATATATAATAGTAACTATTTTAAATTTCCTATTAACTTGTTTTGAAGTCCTGTAATACTCCCACTATCTTGTTTTGACTGATTAGACTCTGTTCCATTCTGTAGGATAGTATCAAGTTTGAGGGTATAGGCAACTACTTTGAAGGCAATAAGATTCACTAAGATGCCCATTCTGGTTTGACTATTGTCTCCTTTGGACGTCCTGTAATGTTTACAATGCTTAAGTTTTATTGGTCTTGTTCTCTACTGTTTTGTTCAACTTCATAATACCTAATGAGATAGACAATTCTTTTTAAGGAAACAAGAGACATTATGGTAACCATTGTTGATAACCCTGTACTCTGTTTTTACATCATGTGCTATGTCTATCCTTGGTTTTGACTGACAGCTTTGTATTGCCATATTTGACTTTATTCTCCCCCCCCCCCGCTAAAAAGTAATAAGAACTAAGGAGTAATAAAACCCAAAATGTGTAAATTTTGTTGTAAAAAAGAGAGGGAAAAAAAGAGCTCTAAAGGATACAACAGCAAGTGTGTTTAGGGGTGTTAAATAGCTGACCATATTAATGTTTTTGGTTGGATCATTGAACACAACTGTTTGCAGTCTCACTGTTTGAATATCTACTTTGTATGCTTTGATACTGTGACTTGAGCAACAATCTCTAAGATGATAATATGTAATCTATTAACTGGTGATTTCTTACTGTTTTTTTTGGGGGGGGGGTAGTTCTGTATTACTTGTACCCTTACACCGCTTTGTTTTGTTTTTTCTCTTTTTCCTTTTAAATAAAATTTTTTTAAAAGTCTCTAACTGATATTAGCACAAACCGTTTTTAATAAACTAAGAGACACAAATAGTATAACTGACTTACATTTTTCCGTTTTCCTTACTGTCCTTTCCTGTTTTACCCATCCTAGTTCCTTTCTCCTCTTGAACAATTTCTTCCTGTTTCATAATATCTATCATACATTTTAGACCTTATTTACTCTTTCAGTTTCTCACACCAGGGAGACAATATGATGTTTATACATGTGAGTCTGATTTATTTCACTTATGAGTATGGTCTCAAGTTGCATCCATTTACCTGTAAAAGTTTCAGGTTTATCCTTGATGGCTGAGTACTATTCATTCCATTGCTGTGGTTGATCTCGAGGTGCTAACTTGGAATCCCCTGTGAGCCCTGTCCCCAAAAGCCGTGGCAGGACAGACAACACACCCCAGGTGTTAGGTGGACTCTTGGGAGTGCTCCTGAGTGCCTATTAGACAATGATGAGCTGGAGTCTGTTCAGTTGCAGTCTGAGAACAAACAGCCCCAGACATTCTATGGAATGGGGTCATCTGGCTGGACCTAGAGTAAACAGAACACCTCAAATCCCCCAGCCATGCTGAGCACCCCTTCCCAGTGCCAGGAGACATGAGGATGACCTCACCTTTAAAGAGGGAATATGTTCTTCGCACTCAAGCACACCCTAGTGCCACCAGGGCCACACATCACACTTGGAAACAGAGGCCAATAGGACTCAGGAGGCAGCAACTTAGTAAAACTAGCAGGAGACTGCAAACAGGTACATAGACAGAACCCTGGTGAGTGTGTACAGGCGTGGGTTCTTAGATTGTCAAGACTAATGAGGGTAGGTGTAACACTAGCTCAGGCCAAATTCACTGGGTGGCTGTGCTTACTAGAGATTCCAGATTTAATAAGTTACCCTACGCATATGGAAGTGCTTTTAACAGTTACTTGGTTGGCTGATGGAACTTGGACCCAACAGCATTCTACAGCTGAAGAGGCCAAGAAATCATAAGTACCCTGGCATAATATGGATGCAGGAATCCAGAGGCTTAATTATAGAGACACAGCATTAGGATTAATCACATTAGACCTGCACATCCGCCCCCTCACTTCAGTTATGTGATCCACAAATCTTATTATGGATCCCTCTTTACTCAACCTCATAGCATACTCACTTTTTTTTTCCTTTTGGGAGGTTGTGGTGATAGCAGGGGTTGAACCCAGGGACACTCCACTGAGTGACATCTACAGCCCTTTTTCATCCCCAACTCTTCCCTCACCGCAGCTTTTTTTTACCTAAGTCTCAGTCTCCCTAAATTGCCCAGGCTAAACTTGAATTGTGATCCTCCTGCTTCACTTCCTTGGTGCTAGCATTATAGGTGTGTACCACGTTACTCTTTGGGGTTGAACTTTCCCGATTCCAATGGCTGTGAGCTTTTCCTCTCCTGATTGGACCCAGACTGATACAGAACAGGGCCCTGCCAGACTTCCCAAGGCCCCAAGAGGACAGTGCTACCCTGGCCCAGAGCCTCCGCACCCACGGAGGAAGTGAGATAAGCAGGAGAGCACACCCTGACCCCTTCTCGGTGGGGTGAGGTAAGCTTGGTCCCGCCCAGCGCCTGGCTGTCTTCCCCACTCTTGCTTTTATTCCATTAGCATTCACCACTTCTTCCCCACCCCTTCTTCCATCTGTTCCCATGGGCTCCATTATTCAAACTTGGAAGGTAGAAATCAGGGCTGGACAGACAATAAGCTGCAGCTGACAGGCTGGGTTCCTGCCAGGATCTGGACAGTCCCTGTCCAGGTGGGGTGAAGGGTGATACAGGCTCAGTGGGCGGCCCAAATCACACCCCAGGTCCCAGGAGGTCTGGGACCAGGAGGGCCCAACCTGCTGGTCTCCCCAGACAGCTGGTGCAGCCCCAACAGTGGCAGCCCCGGGAGGGCAGGGAAGTAAACACAGGCAGACACCCTCTCCAGTCCCAGGGGGCTGAAGTGAGCTCCGGAGTCTACAGGAGGGGAAGGCCCAGCGCTGGGCAGGGCTGAGAGGAAACTACAGCCCCGGGGCAGGGGCCCCAGCTCTGAGGACTTCCTGTGCGGGCCCCCCACACCATCTATTGCCCTCCTTTTGGTTCCCCTTCGCCTAATCCTTCACTTGGGGCCTTTCCTCTGGCTCCTCCCAGGCTCTCTCCGCGGTCTCTCCCTGGGGCAGAACCCGGTCTGACTCCCTCCACCTGCCTTTCATCTCTGCCCGGTGCTCTCCGCAGGGCTCCCGGTCACGTCTTACCACCCACCGCCTCCACTTGCAGCCTACCCTCTCTCTCCTCGCAGCCCTCATCTCCCAGTTCAGCCCCTTTCTCTCCTCTCTTCGGGGCGCCTCCCCCAGTTCTCCCCGCTGTCTCTCTCCTCTGGTGTCCGGGCTTCCTGCCCCCTATCCTGACTCCTGGCAGCAACCACAAGCAAACATCCCTATCTCCAGCAGCAGATCCAGCCCCACTCAGCACATTCACGCCTCCTCTTGGCGGTGGCACAGCGCCAGCCCCTCAGCCTCCAGCCCCGTCCTTCCGCCTTGGGTCTTGGCTTCTCCCTCGTCACTCTGACACCTGGCAGCATGGCTCAGGCCCGGCCCTGGCCTCACCTTCCCTCGGACTCTTCCCCAGGTCCCTAGCCCGCCTCTGCTGGGCCCTCGCGGGTCCCCGTCTGTGGTCTGTGCTGTGGCCACCCCTGCACCTCTCCCGAGGTCTCTCCGGAACACCAGTCCTAACAGGCTGCGCCCGCCCGGGCTCCCAGGTCGGCCTCCAGTCTCCCTAACCCAACCCCCACCCAGCCCCGCCCCAGCCCTGGCCCCTGGGGCCCTCCTGCCTGCCTCCGCCCGCCCCTCTGGACTGGCAGAGCCGGGCTGGGCTGGCAGCCCGCGACGGGAGGGAGCCAGGCAGCGCGGAGGGAGCCGAGGCAGGGCCTGACCAGAGGCCCGGCGGCGCCGGAGCTGGGAGCCGGCAGAAGCCCGACCCAGAGGTACTGAGGAGCGGATCCCTGACCTTCCAGACCCTGGGGTAGGGCTGCCCTGCCGGGAGTGGGAGTGGGAGAGGGCTGGGTTTCTATGAAGTGGCAGGAACTCACTTGTGAGCTGGGGTTCAGTGATCCTGACTCCTGGGGCGCAGGATGAATGGGGAGAGGACGTAGTAAGAATGGTGGAGGGGTGAGGCGGAATAGGTGGGTCTTCTGGGTGTTTGGGAAGTTGAGTAAAGCATGGGATAGGAATGGAGGGGTCCTGAGTCTAGGAAAAGATAACAGTTGGGTCCTGGGGGAGGGGGCTGCTTAGGGCATGGAAGTGAGAGCAGCCATTTCTGTGGGTAGCTGAGGCTGCTGCAGTGAGGCTGCACACTGGGTCAGGAAGGGGCCTCTCTAGAGGCCCACCCGCACCTGCACCCACACCCCAAAGCCCTCTGTGGCTCCTTTGCAGCTCCCTTGGCTGCCACCTCCCTGGGCCAGGTCATGCGCTGCTCCAAGTGCCTGCTCTGCCTGTCAGCACTGCTCACACTCTTGGGCCTCAAAGTGTACATTGAGTGGACCTCAGAGTCCCGAGTCAAGGCGTACCCAGAACCCCAGGGCACCCTGCCAGGCCCCACAGCCACCAGTGCCGAGCCCACCCTGCCTGCCAACCTCTCAGCTCGCCTAGGCCAGACTGGCCTGCTACCCTCAGCTTACTGGAACCAGCAGCAGTGGCGGCTGGGGACCCTGCCCAGTGAGAACAGCACTGAACCAGGAGGCTGCCAGGCTTGGGGTGCTGCAGCCGCTGCTGAGATCCCTGACTTTGCCTCCTACCCTGAAGACCTCCGCCACTTCTTGCTATCCGCAGCCTGCCGGAGATTCCCACAGTGGCTGCCTGCAGGTGAAGATAGCCAAGTGGCCAGCTGTTCCAGTACCAACGTCCCCTACTTACTGCTGGCTGTCAAGTCAGAACCAGGACATTTTGCGGAACGCCAGGCTGTGAGGGAGACCTGGGGCAGCTCAGCCCCTGGGATCAGGCTGCTCTTCTTGCTGGGTTCCCCAGTGGGCAAGAGGGGACCTGACCTACGCACACTGGTGACCTGGGAGAGCCATCACTACAGTGACCTGCTGCTCTGGGATTTCCTTGATGTCCTCTATAACCAGACACTCAAAGACCTGCTGCTACTGACCTGGGTGGGCCAGCACTGCCCTGACGTAAATTTTGTTCTGCAAATTCAAGATGATGCCTTTGTGAACATCCCTGCCCTACTGGGTCACCTGCAGGCCCTGCCACCCACCTGGGCCCGAAGCCTCTATCTGGGTGAGGTCTTTACCCAGGCTAAGCCTCTCCGGAAGCCTGGAGGGCCCTACTATGTACCTGGATCCTTTTTTGACGGCGACTACCCAGCCTATGCAAGTGGAGGTGGCTACGTCATTGCCGGTCGCCTGGCTCCCTGGCTACTGCAGGCAGCAGCCCGTGTGGCACCCTTTCCGTTTGGTGACGTGTACACTGGCCTCTGCTTCCGTGCTTTAGGCCTGGTGCCCCGGGGCCACTCAGGCTTCCGCACAGCCTGGCCAGCAGACCACACCATAGACCCCTGCACTCTTCGAGATCTGCTGCTTGTGCGACCTCTCAGCCCACAGGACACCATCCGGCTCTGGAGACAACTTCAGAGCCCGAAACTCAAGTGCTGAGCCTCATGGATAGCAGGGTGTGGGGTAGGCCTGTACCTCTGACATCTGCCAGCACCTCCTTTCAGGCCTGGATGGAGGGCAGAGGTCTTAGAACAGGACTGCAGGAGCACCTCCTGGGCCCTGTCTGGGGAGGGACAGGGCAGACAGGACAAAACAGCAGACTGTCTTTTTCTGTTTTCGAAAAATATGTACTTCCCACTCTGAGGCCTGAAGTTTTTTGTGTCTGTGGGGCCCTGGAGTGGTACTGAGGAGGGCTCAGCTGTGCTCTGACCTCCACATGAGGCACTCTCCCTCCAGGTCAGGGCCAGCATCATCCCACAGAGATGCAAGGGAACATCTCTGGAGGATCTCCTACCCCATCCATCAGCAGAAGCAGCAAATGTTTCCAGGAGAAGTAGGTATCTTAATGGTGTTGGCCTTATTGACCTAAAGTGGAAATACTGGGGTCCCAAATCAACCATGCTGGACTCTACCATGACCCCAAACTCCAGCAAACAAAAACCAGAGGAGGTAAACAGTGAAATGCAGAGCCACAGTTTATTCACTCTGCTGACTGCCCATCCGGCCAGCAGAGGGGCTTCTGGTCCAAGGGGCCCTTGCCCAGCCCTTGGGAGAAGGCACTGTAACAGCAGATGAAGGGGCTGACTGAGCCTCAGCAACACTGGAAACACTGGCCCCCAAGTACACTCCCTGGAGAAACAGGAGTGGGGGGCAGGAACCCATCCATAAAGCTTGGGGTATCACCCTGGCAGCTATTTCAGGGGAGCAGGCTAGAGAAGAGGAAGCATCCTGTCAGCCCTCCCAACTCTGTTTAGAGGAGAGCCATCCCTCAGGATAGCTGGGGCTCACTTGTCGAAGTGGTCCAAGGGATAGTGCTCCCCATAGGTCTGCAGGTGCTGGGCCAGAGACTCCCGCTGCTTGCGGAGCCGAGCAGGCATCTCCTGGTACACATCAGAGAAGAGCAGGTAGGGGTTGGGCTTCAGCTTCCGCTCAGCCTGTTCGAAGGCCTCCATCACCTGGGAGAACATGACAGGGTGGGAGGTGGGAGGCAGCAGACTGCTTTCCACCCCTCCCAGTGGAACCTCATCCAGGGGTTAACTACTGAGGCTGTGTTCCCATCTGGATAACAGCAGTGATGCTAATACCCCAAATACCAGCAGCTCCATGCCTGGCAGGGCCCAGGTGCTACCCTGAGTATGTGGATTTCTTCCCTTAGCATCTGACTAGCCCTAAGTTGTAGCCAACTTTGAGATGAGAAACAAGGGCACAGAGAAGGGACTCGCCTTGAAGAAGTAGCAGGACAGCAAAGACCAAAATGAGCAACTTGCTCACTCTGGGCAGGATACTCATACCACACAGGGACTAAGTCCTTTATCCTCCAACCACCTTGTCAAGTTGGCAAGACAATTTGCCCAGGATGCAAAGCAAGGATGCAGCTGAGATGACATGCCCCAGGCAGCCTGGATTCACAGGCTGCACCTGGGGATACAACTGGGTTACCTGAGCCTCCCAGCCTGGCAGCTCCAGAACCCAGCACCCCCATCCTCCCAGGGTCCTCCTGCGCAGCAGTCCCTCTAGCATGTGCCCTACCTTCTTGCGTGACTGCTTCCGCCAGGCTTTCTCTTGTTCCTCATCCCACCAGCCTCGGCTCACCAGGTAATGCCTTAGCCGTGAGATGGGGTGGTCCTGCTTGTCCCAGTAATTAACCTCATCTACCGAGCGGTACGCCGAGCTGTCATCACTGGTGCTGTGGTGCCCAATTCTGCACCATAGGGAAACAGCCTGAGTCAGCTTGGGAGTCTGGATGCAGGGAGGAGTGGCCGGGAAGAAGCAGGTGGAAATGAAGCAAAGATGAGGGAGATGCTTCCATACCGGGTGATGAGGCCACATTTTGGGGATGGTGACATGAGAGAGACAATACTGACAGTGTCTACCAGAGCTAACGACAGGGATGGGGAGAGGCAGGCACCTGTAGGTCATGGCTTCAATGAGGAAGGGCTGGTTCTCTGCCACAGCCCGCCGCCGGGCCTCCTTGGTAGCGTTGTACACAGCGAACACATCATTGCCATCCACACGGATGGACATGATGCCATATCCAGGACCTCGGGCCGCTGCAGGGACAGAGAGGAGACTGGCCAGGTCCAACAACTCAGGTGCAAAAATTCATGAAAGGGAATGAGCAGGAAAGAAAGAAACAATTTCAGAGCAAAGAAGCGGGGGGAGCAACAGAGTTCCCCGTCCACTGCCTCCAGTGGCCTTCCTGACAACAGACACCACTGGATCTTACCGATGCCGTCTCCTCGGTACTGCTCATAGGTGGGCGTGGAGATAGCGTAGCCATTGTTCCGGCAGAAGAAGATGATGGGGCACTCAAGAGTGGCAGCGAAATTGAAGCCAGCATGTGCATCTCCCTCACTGGCAGCCCCCTCACCGAAATAACAGATGACAACTCTGTTGGTGTTGGCCCGCTTGGCCGCGTAGGCTGCCCCTACAGCTGCAAGGAAAACAGGGTGGTCAGCAGGAGCACGGACACACACATATTCTCATCCCCCACCATTCTCTCTTACTCCCTCAACCATAGCCTGGGCTTGAGCTCAGGCTGGCTATCACTAGGCACCAAGGGGAACCTCTGAGCCTGCCCACCCTAGTCTTCTCCCTGCTCAACCCAGGGTGGACACCTGGGGCCCATGGCACACATCAGTCATGCAGGCACCTGCCTCAAGGTGCCCGCCCGACTCTCCCCTTCATGCCTCCTGGCCTATACTTTAATGTTACCTTCCTAGGTATTTCCCCTGAGGTTTCCCTGTTCCCCAGGAGATTCGCCACCCCTCACACACTCCAGATGCTTCTCCCTACTTCCTGTCTCCTCTACCCCATCAGCAGCAGCCAAAGTTGAGTCTCTCTTATTCACTGGTCCTACAGTGACACCTGCCACGAAGCAGGGGCTCTATACATTTGCCAAATGAGGGACTTGGTGGGCCCAAAAATGGAAGATTAGTCTAGGGCCAGCTTTAGAAACCCTGTCCATCTTAGCTTGAGGTCACCACCTGAGAGGACACTCCCTACCCTAGCCCAGGTCACTAAGCCAAAAGGCCACAGCTGTGAGGCCATGGAAGCACCTAGTTGCCCTGGCGGGACCCTTGACAGGCTGAAGGCCCCATAGGTGGCGAGAGGAATCCAGTCCTTTGGTCTCTGCTGCACTGTGCAAGCACAGGCCTATAAGGCTACTTCCTGAGCACCCACTGCACAAAGGGACTCAGGAAGCCTAGGGTGGGCACTGGGGATCTGCTTGGTTCTAAGAGCTGGGGTTGACAAGGGACAAGGAGAGAACCTGGGCTCTGGGTTCCCACAGTCCATGACTTGAGTTTCTGCTTTCCTCTGACTGCTATGTGACCTTCAAGCAGTCACTTCCCTTTGCCTTCAAATCCCTCTTTATACAGAAACAAGAGCAGGCAATAAACTTTATCCCCATAGGACTGGGGATTTAGCTCAGTGGCATAAGCGTCTGCCTTGCAAGCAAGCAGTCCTGAGTTCAATCCCTGGTACCAATAAAAAGACAGAAAAAAAAAAAAAGATAAATAAACTTTATCCCCATGGCTATGGAAGGTGTCCTGTTATACAAGAGAACATAACCACCAGGCATAGATCCTGGGGCACGTTTAGGACACGCTGGCCCCATGTGTGAGCAGGCAGGGGGGTGGACAGGAGTGTTGCCCATCTGGTTCAAGCCTGCTGAACAAGGTGGGGACAATACCAGGGCACTCCTCTGAAAGATTCTAAACAAGAACTATTTTGTAAGTCCAGCCCATAGGCCAGCTTCCGGGGGTGCCTAGCCAAATGAGCTGGGCTCCGCACAGGGATGTGACAGGGGTCTTTTGTGTGTGAGGCTCAAGACATGCATCCTTACCCTGAGGGATCTGTGTGGCCAGTGGGGAGGAGATGGTGACAAAGTGGCGCTCCTTGCAGCCATAGTGGACAGGCATCTGGCGCCCCTTGCCTGGGTCACTCATATTGCCGTAACACTGGGCCATGAACAGCTCCAGGGGGTAGTCCCGGTACATCAGCACACCTGGCGGGGACAAGGCAATGTAAGCCTGGAGGGTGATGAGTGAGGGAGGGTAAGACCAGTGCTGGGGTGACCCAGCATGAGCCCTGTATTGCAAAAGGGGTGGGAGGTTCTGATTCCCCATCTGTGAAAAACAATCAGGCAGAAGCAAGGGAGGCACCAATGGGAATCAAAGTGGAACCATAGGTATGAACTGGCAGGCAGACTGGAAAGCACACGCCTGGCTCCAAAAAAAAAAAAAAAAGACCAAGGTTCACAGCAGACAATCTAGATTTCAAAGGTGGCAGAAATACAGCCTGGTGCTGGGCATGGATCCAGGGCCTCAGGTATACAAAGCAAACCCTGTCTACCACCAAGCTAGAGCCCCAGCTGCAGACCCTCTTCCCTTTCCGTCTTTTCTTCTCCTGTCTTCCTTTTCTCTTTCTTAAGAAGAAACCAAGATTTTTAAAAAGTCTTCTCATTGGGCCAGGAATCTAGCTTAGTGGCCTAAGTGATTGTCTGGCAAAGCAAAGTTGTAAGTTCAATCTCTGGTACCAAAAAAAAAGTTTCCTCACTAGGTGTAGGAGTACACACCTATAATCCTATCTTTCAGGAGGCTGAGTCAAGAGGACTGCCACAAATTTGAGCCCAGCCTAGATTACACAGTGAGTTCAAGGCCAGCTACCTAAAGAGACTCTGTCTCAAAACCAAACCAAACCAAAAAATAAATACTTTCAGGGGCTGGGGATTTAGCTCAGCGGCATAAGCACCTGTCTTGCAAGCAGGCAGTCATGAGTTCGATCCCTGGTACCAATAAAAAACGAAAAAGACAAAATAAAATAAAATAAAATATATATATATACACACACACACACACACTTTCAACTAACTCAGTAACTTTAACTAAAGGCCACCCATCAATCCTTCTGCCTAAGGAAACACTCTACTTGAAGAAATTCTTTCTTCAAACAAAAGCCCTGGTGAGTGACAGCTCATTATCCAAGGGAAACCACCCTGGTGGAAGAAGACCCATCAGCCAAGCTAGGTGGCAGGATAGGTCTGTGGTTGTTTTAGGACCAGCTAGAATCTGTGCCCCACCTGAAAAGAGGTACGACTTCACACCCACCCCACTAGACAGCACAGGGGATCTGCCACACCC